GCGCACAAAACAATACTATAGTACTAACGAACATGTATGTATCATTCACGTGTCATTGCATTGACCAAATATTTTATTAAATGATTATAAAATTAGGGTGCATGAATTCGATAGTATGAATGGTAATGTCCTATATCAATGTTTAGGAAATATTAAAGTTCTCGTTATGGAATTATTTCGTCGAGTTTATAATTATTAGATCATTATGTAACTGTTATAAATAGTTGATTTACCGATTACAAATCTCGAAGGAATAATCTGTAACGGGACCGTAACATTTTTTCAATTTTTTTCTATTTTTAATTTTGTGTTCGCTCCCTTTGAAAATCATGATTCTTCAATTAAATTTTGAATTGTTATTTAATTTGTTAATAATAATAACAATTACTAAATAGAGTTATTGGTATGAGATGAAGATAAATTGATAAAACATAATTGAAAAGTAGTTTATAAAATAATGATTGGAAGTGAGGTGTGACTAATAAGAGTCAGTTTGGTATATACCATAAGCTAACTTATAGCTTATTTAGTTAACTTACAAGCTTTAGGTATATAAAATAAGCTTTGTTTGATAGGACAAACTATTTCAAAGGCTCGAGTGTATCTCATAAACTTCTTGTGGTAGCTTTTCAAATAAGTCCGTTGAAAATTTCATTTCAGCTGACTTATCAGGTGATTTTACTAAACACTTTTATCATATCAGCTGGTTTTTCAACAATAGATCATGAGCTATCAACTATAAGCTCGAAATTAACTTATATAAACTAGCTTATTAGCTACTTTTACAAAACATAGCCTAAGTAGTAACACGGAATTTAGTTAAAATTAATATCGTGAGAGCATCCACAATGTTTTAGTTCATTTAAAAAACATATCGGTCACGTAAGATCCTGCTGATGTGGGAAGCAAAAAAGAAGGTTGTGTCTATTTTTAAGTCTATTTTGGACTCAACTAGAGGCATAGTCTATTTGCATTGAAGTTAATTTTGTTGCTTTTATATATTTTTATACATGTCATCCAAGTGTTAAGTCTATTTATATGACACATAGACAAAAGTAGACTCAGATCATTGTAAATGCTTAATTGAAGTAAAGTAGGATTCTTTATATCCGAAAGATATCCTAAGCATTATTCCTAGTGCATAGGTATCATTGTGAAAAATGTTACATTATTCACTTGTGGAATTAAAAAATTGCTATAGTGGTGTAAAAAAGCTAAATTATTGAAATTGAGTTAAACTCAAATTCGGACTTGAACCTTAATCGAGTCGAGTGAAACTCGATTATTAATTCAATCTGTATTAACAAATTGAGCAAAAACAATTCATTAACTTGACGAGCTTTTAACAATTCGAGTCAATTCGAATTCACGATTAACTCATTTCATTTATTGTTATAGTCATTGCATATGATTTGGCCCCTAAGATTATATACTTATTGGAAACAAATAACTAATGGGTCCAATAGTGCATGCTAATAAAATTGTACCTGACAACAAACTTTTTTACTATGTCTAATAGTAAAATAAATTACAGAACAATTTTTGTACTTTAATATTATTATAAATAAAGGGAAATGCTACAGTACCGTTATGGAACCATTCTGTCGAGATTTGTAACCATCTACATAGTTGATTTAACGGTTACAAACATCGACTGAATGGTTTTGTCACGCGACCATAAAATCTCCCATAAATATAATAGTGGCTTGGCTAGAGTTGGACTGCCATTATCGCAACTTTGGGGCTTTGTTTTTGCGCCTAGTTTTCATTAACTTGGTTTCCTCAAAGTTGATGCCGTCGGCCCACAACAACTTACTACTTTTGGGCTCCACAGAATGGCCCTTTAAGGGACCAATTTCATAGATTTTTGGAAACAATGATGTAAAACGTTCAAGCATGTAAAACCTAGTTCCTTTATTGAGAAATGTAATATTTATTACTATATAAATTACTAATATAATATGCATAATATAAAATCATACTCTTCATTTTTTTTGTTATTGAAGTGATATTTATTGAGTTCTCCATAATTATATTCAAATGGTGTATTGAGTATAAACACGTACACTGGAATAAATATACTTGGTCGCATCAATTTATGAAGTCAAATATGGAGCCACATTTGAAAGATTTATTCACAATTATTTATAGACTAGTACAACACCCGTGTATTACACGGGTGCTTGCTAATTTTTTTTCTTAAAATTTA